GATTTGGAGCAGATTTGAGGCCAAAACGTGGCTGGGCAGATTATGGACAGATTCTCCTAGTCCAATTTGGAGTTTATGTCATGTCATTATTTTAGTTTATTTGGTTTCCTTGTGGGGATAGAAAAGCTGGTTGTGGGCAGCTTGTTTGTGGGAGTATTTAAGTTCTAGTTCACATAATTTTTGGGGCTCTTCTCTTTTGGCTTTTGAACGCGACTTTGCTAGGATTTTTAGAAGAACTTCTACTTCAAGGTGTTTTCGATCTTTATTATTTTAATGAAGAACTTGATTATTTTTATTATGAACATGCGTAACTAACTCTCTTTTGCTAGGGTGAGGCCACGAGCCTTAGCAAGAATATGTAGTTTCTGTCCAATTTGCTTATGATTATATGCATGCAGGTTTTCGAATTATTCATCACTGGGTTAAACTATCTAAGTGTCTTGATGCTTGATCACTATTAGGCTGTTTAGAAAAGTAATTTGGTGCAATTTTGGTCGGAGGTCGGTCCCTGAAATTGACGAAGGCTTCTTGTGATTAATATGTGCAAGTTCACTTAGGATGAATACCACGTCTTAAGGGTTGCATGGTTTTTCAGAAGGTTAAACAGAACTTAATGAGTCATGTATGTTTAGATTTGATCTGAATACCACAGACGGATTGCATGTGTGATATACGCTCTATGTTGGGGGTCCAAGTAGGCATATATTAGGAATACCTAACCTTCGAAATATGCATGTATAGGTCATAAGTAATTGGGAGAACTATATAGAATTGTTAAGGTGACGGCGGATCCCTAGTGCTTTCTTAATTTGATTTCTAAAAACACAACTGTTTCTCTTGCCCTTAGCTTTAAATTTACATATTGCCTTATTTTTATTAGTTAAATTCGTTTTAATTTAAGGTTTTCAAATCAAACATCTCAATTTTCTCTTTTACAATAATTAATTAGGATTTGGTTTGCGACGAGTTATTTAATAATCCCTGAGGAGAACGACCTTGCGAGAATCATTTATACTACAATAACCTTGTCATTCTTGCAAGTTTTATAGGAGTTTTAATCTTGTTTGCGCAGGTACAAAAAAGCCTATCAAGAATTTGGCGCCATTGCCGGGGATTATTTAAAATAATTCGTTCTAATCAGATTCTGCGTTAATTATTGCTGTACATACATACCAAAAAAAAAAAAAGAAATAATTTCCGTTTTTATTTTATTTTTACAGATCACAGCAGGGCAGTGCAGATTACAATCTGTGCATGGTCAGCACGCGTTCAGCAGTTAAGCAGTTGGTTCCGTTTGATCCAGAACCTGAGCAATCTTTAAGGAGGAGACGCAGGGAGCAAAATTTACTGTGGGTTCCTTCATTGCAAGGGACTTTTCTGCAGTCTTTATATTCTGAGGACCTGCACAGTAAAGAAACAATGGCTTTTGTTATACCAGAGGCTGGTGATCCTTTGGGTAATTCTTTAACAGCTCATGCCACTAACATACCAGGTTGCATTACATATCCAGCAGTGGAAGAAGGGTCTACATTCGAAATCAAGCATCACATGTTGAGTATTCTACCTACATTTCATGGGTTATCAACCGATGATCCTAACATGCACATTGCAGAATTTTTAATGGGATGCACGAATATTTTGGTGAAAGGATTTTCAGCTGAATCTATTAAGCTTCGTTTATTTCCATACACATTGAAAGATCAAGCAAGGAGATGTCTCCTCACACTTCCATCTGGAAGCATTAGCACTTGGAACCAACTCAGTGAAAAATTCTTAAACAAGTATTATCCAACTTCAAAGACTCGAGACATGAGAACTCAAATTCTATCTTTTGCCCAAAAACCAAATGAAGAGTTTCATGAGGCATGGGAACGGTTTAAAGAGTTGAATAGAAAATGTCCACATTCTGGTATTAGCAGTACGGATCAAGTGCATATATTTTTCAGAGGGTTAAATATGACAACAAAAACTCTTGTCAACGCTTCATGCGGAGGTTCGTACAAGGATAAAAATGCACAAGAGGCTTGTTTATTATTTGAAAAAATGGCAGCAGATACACAGCAATGGGCAGTTGAGCAGCCACAATCTAGGTCTGTTTTTGAGATATCTAATGGTTCTCCATATATGTCGGCACAAATTGAAAAAATGGAGAAAAAGCTTGAAAGATTCGATGCAAAATTTGACATGTTATTACAAAGAATTCCAGGTTCACAGGTTGCTGTACAACAGCCTTTACCAGCTGCCTGTAGCATTTGCAATGTGACAACCCATGATTTTTTGAGCTGTCCACATAAAGATGCTTATCCGGAATTTGCAGCGGAACAAGTTAATGCATTTAATAATTTCCAGCGTCCAAGATATGACCCATATTCAAATGTTTACAACCCGGGTTGGAGAGATTATCCTAATTTTAAGTGGGACAGAGATCAGCCTGCAAGGCCACAATTTCAACAACAGGTACAACAAACTGCTGCACCTAAGGCTGCTTGGGAGGTTGCAATTGAAAAATTAGCAAATGCCACCAGTCAAGAATTCCAAAATCTGCAGGCAACAGTGAAAAACATAGAAAAACAAATGGGGGAGATTGCATTCCAAGTTTCAGAAAGAGCACCAGGTACATTTCCTAGCCAAACTGAACAGAATCCAAGGGAAGGCGCAGATTGTAAGGCAGTTCGAGTTCTACGTTCGGGTAAAAGTTATGACAATAGAGGTGAAATTTGTGCTGGAAGTTCGCAGGCAGCATCATAGCCACAAACAGATTCAGGAAAATTTGCAGAATCTGATATTGTTGCAGATTCTACAGAGTCTATGGCCAGATCCGAAAACAGTGAAAAAAGTGCTGCAGAAACTGCAGAACGTGTTTATGTGCCTCCAATGCCTTATCCCGAAAGGTTGAAGCCCAAAGTTAAAGATCAACAGTTGACAGATTTTATGAAGACATTGGCCAAAGTTCAGATCAATCTCCCATTGATTGATGCAATTAAGAACATTCCATCTTATGCCAAGTTTTTAAAGGATGTTTGCACAAAGAAAAAGAAGCTCGTGGATTTTGAAAAAGCAGTTTTATTACACAAACTGCCCCCAGGGAGTTTTACAATTTCATGCACAATTGGAAATTCTAATTTTAAACGTGCTTTAATTGATTTGGGTGCCAGTATTAATTTAATGCCTTTTTCTGTTTTTCAGAGACTAGGACAAGGAGAAATCAAGCCTACATCAGTTATTCTACAACTAGCGGATCGTTCAGTTGCTTACCCTAGGGGAATTATTGAAGATCTCATTATTAAAGTGGATAATCTCTATCTTCCTGCAGATTTTGTGGTCTTGGATATGGATGAAGATATGCAAACACCGATTATTTTGGGGCGTCCGTTCATGGCTACTGCTCGAACCTTAATTGATGTTGAGGCTGGGACACTTACACTTAGAGTGCAAAATCAGTCCGTTATTTTCAGTTTATTTGAAGTAACCAAAAGGCCAGCTGATGTGCAAGATTGTATGCGTGTTGACATGTTAGATAGCTTAATGCATGCAGAAATTATGCCCCGTTTGACATCAGATCCATTGTTAAAGGTGTTGCATGGGTTGGAGAATAAAAACACTGAAGATGAAGAGGTTTTTGAGTATGTTTCAGCTTTGGAAAGTGCTCCTTTTCTACACCCCCGTTGGAGGCATGTTTTTGAGAGTTTAGGGGAACCGAAAAAACCATTGCAGCCCTCTAAAGTACAGCCACCTCAGCTGGATTTAAAAGTGCTGCCAGGACACTTAAAATATGCTTATCTGGGTGCAAATTCTTCGCTGCCAGTTATTATTGCTACTGACTTATCATCAACAGAAGAAGAAAAATTGCTGCGTATTTTAAGAAATTATCAAGATGCAATCGGTTGGACTATAGCAGACATTAAAGGGATCAGCCCTACAATTTGCATGCACAGAATTCTGATGGAAGATGGAGTAAAGCCCACCATTGATGCTCAACGTCGTTTGAATCCAATTATGAAAGAAGTTGTTCGTACTGAGGTTATGAAGCTTCTAGATGCTGGGATGATCTACCCAATTTCAGATAGTAAGTGGGTTAGTGCAACTCAAGTGGTGCCCAAGCGTTCTGGAATTACAGTTGTGAAGAATGATAATAATGAACTTGTGCCTACACGTTTGACTACTGGGTGGCGTATGTGTGTTGACTACAGAAAGATCAATGCTGGTACTAGAAAGGATCATTTTCCATTGCCTTTCACTGATCAAATGTTGGAAAGGTTGGCTGGTCGTGCGTTCTATTATTTTTTGGATGGGTATTCAGGGTACAACCAGATTCCAGTTGCACCTGAGGATCAAGAGAAGACAACATTTACATGTCCTTTTGGGACTTTTGCATATCGAAGAATGCCCTTTGGTTTGTGCAATGCTCCTGCAACGTTTCAACGATGCATGATGAGCATATTTTCCGGATTGGTTGAACAGGTAGTTGAAGTGTTTATGGATGACTTTTCTGTTTTTGGGGATTCTTTTGATGAATGTTTGAACAATTTATCCCTAGTTCTTGACAGATGCATTAAGACAAACCTTGTTTTAAATTGGGAAAAGTGTCATTTCATGGTTAAGCAGGGGATTGTCCTAGGCCACTTGATTTCTAACAGGGGTATTGAGGTTGATAAGGCCAAAATTGATGTAATTGCAAAGCTGCCACCACCGACAACTATTAAAAGTGTTCGATCCTTTCTTGGTCATGCTGGGTTTTACAGACGGTTTATCAAGGATTTCTCCAAGATTAGCTGACCATTGTGTACTTTATTGGCTAAGGATGCTCCTTTTGTTTTTGATGATGCTTGTTTGGAGGCTTTCAACAAGTTAAAGACACTCCGCACTACAGCACCCATTATTGCAGCACCTAATTGGAGTTTACCTTTCGAATTGATGTGTGATGCTTCAGATTACGCAGTAGGAGCGGTTCTTGGACAGCGGAAAGATAAGCTTCCCCAAGTCATTCATTATGCTAGTCGGACTCTCAATGATGCACAGCTGAACTATGTGACCACAGAGAAGGAATTGTTGGCAGTTATTTTTGCATTAGAAAAATTTCGTTCTTACTTAGTTGGGGCTAAGGTGATTGTTTACACAGATCATGCAGCTTTGAAGTATTTGTTGTCGAAGAAAGATGCTAAGCCTCGATTAATTCGTTGGATTCTTTTACTACAAGAGTTTGACTTAGAAATCAGGGATAAGAAGGGTAGTGAAAATGTTGTGGCTGATCATTTGTCCAGGTTGATTGTGCCAATTTCTGCAGAAGAAGACTTGCTGCCTTTGAATGAAAATTTTCCAGATGAACAACTATTTGCTACCCATATCATTTCACCATGGTTTGTTGATTTAGTTAATTATTTGGCTAGAGGGGTACTTCATCCAGATTTTACTTTCCAGCAGAAAAAGAAATTTTTGGCAGATGCAAAGTATTATTTTTGGGATGAACCATATTTGTACAAATATTGTTCAGACCAAGTTATTCGCAGGTGTATTCCAGAAGAAGAGCATGAAAGTGTTTTAAAGTTTGCACATCAGTATGCTTGTGGGGGACATTTTGGCCCTAAAAGAACAGCAGCTAAAATTTTGCAAAGTGGATTGTTTTGGCCTACTCTCTTCAAGGATGCTAATAGTTGGTGTCGATCTTGTGATCGTTGTCAGAGGGTGGGTAATCAGTCCAAAATAAATGAAATGCCCCAGCAAAGTATATTAGTCGTTGAATTGTTTGATGTTTGGGGTATTGATTTCATGGGACCATTTCCAATGTCCCATGGCAATCAGTATATTTTGGTGGCTGTTGAATATGTTTCTAAATGGGTCGAGGCAATTGCAGCATCAACCAATCAAGGATCAGTTGTTCTGAAATTCCTCCAAGGGGTAATTTTTCCACGATTTGGAACACCGCGTGTCATTCTAAGTGATGGGGGTAAGCACTTTGTTAATAGATCGTTTGCTACATTGTTGGCTAAGTATGGGATCACCCATCGTGTTGCTACTCCTTATCATTCACAAACATCAGGACAGGTTGAAGTTTCAAATAGAGAAATCAAGTGAATTCTTGAAAAAACAGTTAGCTCTACTCGAAGAGACTGGAGTTTGAAATTGAGTGATGCTCTCTGGGCGTACAGAACAGCATTTAAAGGCCCAATTGGGATGTCCCCATTTCGGCTGGTTTATGGTAAGGCTTGTCACTTACCTATGGAGCTAGAGCATAAGGCGTTTTGGGCTATTAAAGAGTTGAATTTTTCCTATGATTCTGCTGGGGAAAAACGTAAATTGCAGATTAATGAGCTTGAGGAAATTCGTAATGATGCTTATGAGAGTACGCGCATTTACAAAGAAAAAACCAAGGCATTTCATGACAATCAGATTCTCAGAAAGAATTTTCATTCAGGGCAAAAAGTTTTGTTATTTAGTTCAAGGTTGAAGTTATTTCCAGGGAAGTTAAAGTCTCGTTGGAATGGCCCCTATTTGGTTGCTAAGGTTTATCCTCATGGGGCGGTTGATATTACAAGTGAAATTAATGGCAACACATTCAAAGTGAACGGTCACAGGCTGAAACCATATTTGGAGTCGCCCTTCGATATTGCACGCGAGTCACTGACTCTGAAGGAACCAGTGATCTGACCACCAGGCTTCTGCAACGTCTAGCTACAGACTTAAAATAAAGCGCTTATTGGGAGGCAACCCAATTTTTCTAAACTCGTTACTTCTTTTTGTTGGTTTTCTTTATCTAGTTGTTTTTATTTTCTTTCTACTCCTAACACATATTTGGTTCCATGCAGGACACAACAATCAGCAGCAAACATACTAGCAGATAATCCTATACTGGAATCATGCACCCAGCAGCAATCCTACACTGGAATCATGCACCCAGTAGCAAGTCTACATGAACATCAAAGGCAGCTATTCCTATGCTGGAATCATGCACCCAGCAGCAAGTCTACCAGATTACAACCACAAAACTTGCAGGGATTCGATATTATACCTGCTCGCAACTTGAAGATTGACTTGCTCGCTGACATCCGGCAGTCTCCACGTCTTATTTCCAAGTTGATGCAAATCTAAAATTGATGCAGATGAAAACAGATGTGGATGAGTCACTCAAGACAAGGCAAAGAGGTTCTTCAGTTCTAACTGAACTGAAGCCAAAATTGTTACTTCCATCAAACGAAGTTGACAGTGATGGATTACAAGCAAACCGCGAGGCTTACCATTACCCAAGCTCAGAAACATAATTTTCATCAGTTATGACTCATTTACAACACACAATAGGGTGAAAGTCAGAAATTCTACAGGGGATCGTGTTTATACCTCTATAGGATGACTGACCTCAGATTTTTGCAGAGACCAATGTGTGGTGTAAATCTGCTCAGATTTGCAAGTTTGGGGGTTGACCGCACATGGATACACATACACGCAAGGGTTAGACTTTGCTCACACCATCAATTCTGAAACGAAATTTCCAATATCTGAGGAGGGTTTTACCTTTGGCCTCTCAGATCTGATGTTTGAAGTGCATCGTTAAGGACGGAGCGGCTCCTTGGTTACTCCAAATACCATTTCGAGCAAATCCAGCACAGAAAACTCCAAGTTTGAGTTTTGAAACAGCTGCGAACGAGAGCGGAGTGTGGGTTTATGAGAGAAATGCCTATGAGAGCAGGTTTGAGTGTGCGCAAGATAAAGAAGCGCTATTGGTGCACAGAAGAAATATTTGCGAAAAGGAATATCTGCGCAGGTGACTGGGCTAACAGAGAAAGGGAAGGGTTTGCGTTTTGAGAAACACACAAGAGAGAGACTTCGATTTTTTTATTTATTTTTTATTTCTCTGCAAAGGGGAAGTTGAGCGATGAATGACGACGAGAGAGACTTTTGGGTTTTGAGATAGGTGACGGCGTGGATTCTAAGAAAAATTGAATGGAGTCTGGGTTCTGATGAGCAAAGGGACAACGAGAGCCGTTGGCTCTGGGCTCTAGTCAAGAGTCTATTTGATTCTTATTTCATTTTTTTTATTCATCCACTGACATGGACCAACTCATTCACACCCTTTCTCTCTATTGTCATTAAAATGAGGTGCCAATTTCATCCAAGTGGGGTAATGGCAAGCGGATGCTCTTGCTGTTCAATTTTAGTGGTCCCTCAGCAATTGCCCGGTGTGTTCTTTTCCTTCTTTTCTTATTTTAAATTTTTCTTTGGTCTTTTCTTTTATTTGTGATATTTTTCTGTTTTCTTTTAGGCTATATTATTTTTATTATTTCCTTTATTTTCTTTTCCACACCTTGGGGACAATGTGTGATTTAAGTTTGGGGGTGGGAAAGTAAATTTTAGTTTTTTAATTTTTTTTTTTAGTCTTGTTTAAAATTTTCGTTTTTAAGTTAATATCCATAGATTATTTTAAACATTAGAACAAATAGACATGGTGAAGATCAATCCCTCATTAGAGTCTTTTCTATTTATTGTTGCTTGGATACTAATTCATGAATTACACTTTGAAATTTGCACATCACACCAACATGGTTTGTGGGGAGTGAGATCAAAATACTTAACTTTTTGTCCAAGTGTGTTTTAATTTTTGTTCTATATAAAATAAAATTAGTATGTGTTATAAAGTAATAATTGTCTCACCCGAGGCTTTGCTTAGTAACCGGGCCAGTCCTGCCTAATCAGCAGTGATTCTCGAGTCAAACGGTAGAGTTTTGGCATGGGGCAGGGTGGTTAGTTGGTTTCGTAGCCTTTCCCTAGTGCCCTAAAGCCTTATTTGGTTTGGGAGTCATTGACCTAAAGCTCGTTACATGGGTTGGATTGAAAGCTTGAGTGATCTGACATTGCACGACCACCACTGTTACAAAAAAAAAGAAAAAAAAAAAGAGAAAAAAATATATATATATATATGTGTAAAGTTAGTAGGTGAAGTGTGAATAAACGGGATGAAAGGTAAGGGTTTTGGTTGAGTCTCCTTAATTATGATGGTTCACTTTACACCAAAGGAAATTTGTGAATTCTTTTCTAATTGACTCTAAATGGCTTAGACTCTGTAGTGGGATTGGTTGGAACTATTGAAAAGATGTTCTGATTTTTAACATTTTCTATGGATTGCAACTTGAAGGTGGAAATTTTGTCTTGTTTAAGTTTTAGCCATGTGTCTAGTTTGTTAAGTTTTTTTTTTTATTTTCTTTGAGTCTTGTTTTGCTTGAGGACAAGCAAAAAGCAAAGTTTGGGGGTATTTTGATGGGCATATTTTATATTATATATTTAGCCCCATTCTTAATATATTTTGGTTAATATTTTGGAAGAATTTTGATACTTTGAATTGTATTCTCAATATAGGACTTTTGACTTTCTCTGGAGCAAAACATAATCAAATGGACGAATTTTGGAGTAATTCCAGTTGGAGGATGTTCGTGAGTCACTTGGCTTGATCGTATCAAAATTTCAGACTTTTCTACCAAGCGGTTATTTTCTGGCGATAAAATAAAGGAGCAGTGCGTAGTGCTGGAAAGTGACGTTTTGGGCTTTTATGGCGTTTTTGGAGCCCGAGATGACCTCTGATGGATTCGTGGCCTTCTGGAGAAGTGTTCAGAACGTTTTTATCTTTAAAATGAGCTGTATTGGGCCGGATTTGGATCAGATTTGAGGCCAAAACGTGGCTGGGCAGATTGGGGGCAGATTCTCCTA